TTTTCCAGTAGGTGAAACAAGAGGACATAGTAGGAAATGAAGACCACTCACTAGTAATTTGGGACAATAATTCAAATTCAAATTTAGATAAATAAGAAGATGCAATAGCAAGTGCATATTCAGTATCGAAATTATTTTTCCTTGGAACCCCTACGACCGGGGTGAATACGGGGGCAAGGGGGGATAGCTTGTAATTCGTAATTGTTGTTGTTGTTGTTGACTTGGCTCTTAGTTAGTAGGTGGTGGCGGAGCGTTGCTACATGATAAGTAATTCTGGTGGACTTGTAGATTGTTCTTCAGATTCAGTTCCATTGATAATTTATTTTTTGCATTTTCATTTTCTGTTGAACGTTTAAATCACGATGGGAGGTCATTTCCAAGTTTTGTACATAAAGCTGTTAGCGATTGACAAAATGTTGTTGTATCATTAACTAATTGTTGTTGAACAAATAAAGGTATTATCTCGATAAGTACTTGACATACCGGAAATATGAAGTGATTTACTAAGTCTTTCTGAAAACCTAAATCAAGTTGTTGTATCTGTATCATATGGTCATGATTTGTAATTAAATGTTGCATATTCGTTTGTTGGACAATGAAATTGTTGTTCAATTCCATTAATCTATTTAGGTTCTTCTCGATCTTGTTCGATTGTGTAACTAATTCATCAATTCTTTTGGTTAAATCATCTTGATTGTTATTTTTTGAATAATTGTTCATATAATTGTGGTTCAGCAGTGGGAAGTCTTGATCTTGATAACGAAAATTTGTATGACTAGATGGATGTGCTTGATGGTTGTTGTGATTGTTGTTCGTGTTTGTTGATGTGGTTAATAATGATTTTGTTAATGCTGCACGATAAGCTTTAACTTCAGGACATCTAATATCATTAGCATCATGTTGCCCTTTGCATCTAATGCAACATAATTGATTATCACATGATTCTTTGTGTAGTTTAAGATCAGGAACACTATTACCACACAACCTACAATAATCAAGAACACTTTTGCATGTACCACGGAAATGTCCAATTTGGAAGCATTTCGAACATATCAAGACTTTTGCTGGAGCAATATATTCTTTTACCGGAAATCGTTCATTTTTAACCACGATGGATTTTTTTCTAAGTAATTCATTTATTGTCTCAATGTTCTTAATATCTAAACGGATAAATGATGTCGGTTGTTTCAATTTATTTGATATTCGATGGACATTCATAATATCGGGATAATCAATCTTTACTAATGATAAAAATTCGTTAACATCCACATCCAGTGGAACATTTCTTAACATAATAGAAAATTGAGGTGGGAAATGACTTGGACTAATTTTAAGATAATCAATTGAATTAATTGTATTTGGCCAATTCCTGTTTTCATAAAGCATCAGGAATGTTTCCCGGTTCAGGACAAATAACAATAATTCCTGATGATCCTTTAAACGATGACCAGCAAATTTTAATTCGAAATTGTACGTGGACGAAAAATGTTCCATTAAATTTTTAATTATTACGTTCTCATTCACTACCTGTTGGAATTTTATAAAATAAACGATTGTTGAACTTGTTCCTCTATTTCTTTTCTGTTCCATCGCTATTATTTTTTGTGCACTGTAAAATATATGGACGGCTAGTTATTAGAAGAGATAAGAAAAAGAAGATGAAAGAAAGCAGAGGAGAAAAATAAAGAAAAACGAAAAGAAACATGCATGGATGATAATATGCACTTTTGGTACCAGCTGGAGTTGCACAAAAAGCAGCTTTTATGATAATTTTATTATTATAATATCGATCGAATAGTGATCAAATAGCATAGAAAGATAGAGTAAAAAACGCTCTATCTGTTCATAAGAAAAAAAATGTTTTCCAAACAGTCTACACGAAATTAAGATGCGGAGCCCACTACTTTTGATATAACCTAAGTAATAATAAGAATGATAAATTAAGAAAAAAGAATTTAAAAAGACGAAAAATAATGAGCGAATAGCAAGAATGAAAATGAAAAATTGGGCGCCCGTAGAAAAAAAATTAAAAAAAGTTGTTCGAAATGCAGAAATTGGAGAATTTTTTACTGCAGTGATTAATTATCCTACAAAGCAATTATAGTTTACGAGAGATTTTTCATTTTACGTTTTTGTATTCATTTAATGAGGCTATAAAGCATATGTGAGTTCCACATTTCAGCCCCAAAGAGGCTGCGCTAACAAGCTTTTTATGTTAATATTGTCATTCATTTGAGTGAACCCTTTAGTCAATTGTCTATTCTTCGTGTGATAGTATAATTTTTTTCTTTCATACATATTGGTAACTGATTCTTACTTCGTAGCCTCCTGAATATTATTCATCCATAAGTCGATGTATTTTTTTGCTACTTAGTACTTTTTTTTCGTGCAGCCAGTTAAAAGCTATTACAATTACTAGATCCGCAACCCAAAACTGTTACTGAATATAAGATAACCTTTAAATTTGTCCTACGCGGATGTCTATGTCGGCGTACCTGTTCCTGTTAATCGTTTCTTCCATCATACTCATACCGGCACCCAACCACACCTACACCCACACCTACACCCACACTCATACACACTCCCACACCCATACACACACCCACACTCATACACACTCCCACACCCATACACACTCCCACACCCATACACACTCCCACACCCATACACACTCCCACACCCATACACACTCCCACACTCATACACACTCCCACACCCACCCAAACCCACACCCACTCCGACGCACACTCATATATTAAAATGGTCAATAAATAAAAGAAAAACGATCTGATTCGATTTATGAAACGATGACATATTCTGTTGCCAAACACATTTATAGAAACCATGAAAAGAAGAATAGAGGAAAAGATAGAAAAATCAAAATTTGTTCTCAATAAAGAGAAACATTTTTTCTCTTTTCTCCTAAAACGAATTTTATATTGCATTTGAAGTTTCGTACCAATCACAATTAGTATGTCATCCTTACAGTTAATACACGAACTAGACTATTTGATATAGTGATGAGTATAACTGGCATGATCGTTTACTTGAAGTTAAAGAAATACAAAGCAATTTATTGTTGAAGAACAATGAAACATTCATTCCCATGAGATCCTTTTTTCTTTGTCATATTAGCTTGATAACGGAAAATATCTTAGAAATTATATTAAACAAAAAAGGACGAGAATCCTTAAAACTTTTATTATCGATCATTCATTAAAATTTCCAAACAAAAAGTAGAAAAGAAGATTCAATTCATGAAGATATTGGAGCCAGAAAAAAGAAGTTATTTTTCATGTGATTTTGATCAGTTTTGTTTTGCAAAAGAAGGATGGGTGCGAGTGTGGATATCGGATGTGAGCGCATGAGTATTGGTAGGAGTGAGTCTTTTTATCATCTACAGTCATACCCACACCCAAAATGTTTCACTGCTACAAAAGATGAAGATTAGCTTGAATAGATTCAATCATTTCTACACACAAACTTCTTACTCATAAATCGAGAAAATATTTGTTTTTTTGTTAGAAACAAAACACGTGTAATGAAAACAGTGACGCTTTATGCAATCTGGTTTCAGTTTCTGCTTTGTTTTTGCCCAGGGTGTCATTCTCAAAATGTGAGAGATGTTGAGATTTCATGAAACAATTGAGCTATTTATTTTGTATGCATTTAAATAATTTCAGCAAAAATATACAATGAGATATTCGAGTGAATTTACTAGCAATTGTGTTCACTATCCTTTTAATCTAAAGATATAGAAATAATAGTTGTTGAATTTGTAAAATTGCAATATACGTGAATATTCTGTTTATTATTGAAAAATTTCCTCATTTGTGAACGCTTTTTAAAAGATACAATTCTCTATATTTCCTACAGTGTAAGCTCTTCCAATAATCTGAAATGTATTTTATCTACGTCATCCGATGGAGTTTATCGAATTCGACATGTACAAAAGAATTCATAATATGTTATATTTATTTGAATTTTCAACACTTTGTAATTTTCTAATAACATACTGACACATGGAATGTAAAGAAAATATATGAATGCCGTTGCTGAGAAAGATAAGCATTGGTTCTCAAATAGAATAAGCAGATACTTTCAAATAAAAGTACATGGGAGACAGTGACGGAGTTGCCAGCTGCTCTGAAGAGGAATGAAAAGACTAAAATCGTCCACAATCACATTTCAATAATGTAATTAATTGGTAGTAAAAGTAATATTATTTAATTGCATGGTAACATTGACTTCCCTCTTCTTTCGCTCATCTTCATCTCGCCGTTTATACGAGACACGAGCCAAAGCAGCCATCACAATTGATAGTGTAATGGCAATGACAACAAGCAAATTCATTATCTTGTATCGTCCGGAGATAATGAAGAGAAGAGTGACAAATGTCACATTGTTCAATTGAACGAGTACAGAGGCGGAGAGAGATTCCGGAAGAGGAAATGTGATCTCAGCCAGACTCTCGTAGATCAATGGTACCGCAGCCCCTTGAAATAAACCAGCAAGAGTGGCAGCGACTCCGATAGTGATTTGTGTGGAGCCAATAACGTGTGCATCATAAAAAATACTACGGACGGACAGTTGAAACCAGATTACCGGGACTAAACAGGCAAACAATGCAATAAGTATCAGCATTTTGAGTGAACGTCGAAAGCGAGGCGAATCAGCCAGTGTACCTAAGACCAAGCCGCCAACAATGCTTGCTAATGATGAGCCAAAACCGAACCAACCTAATAGAAAGTTACATTAAAGAATCGTTCGCTCTGATGTATAAATCAGGTATTTACGTATTCGCCTCTAAACAACCAAGAACATGAGAATCATCAGATGATAAAGATTCTCCACTTGTGGACACTGATGTTCACGACTAGTCATATTATATTGAACTGATCTGATCTGATCTCTAATGAAAGCTGATATGCGTCAATGAATATACTAGCGTACTCGTGCGATTCTTAATAGAATTAAAATATTCAAATGTTCAGATACTTCTAATGTTTCTCAGTTGTACATCGTGCCAGAGGCTTTACGATTGTTTCATTACAAAACACTATTGGTTTTCTTTCTAAATAAGAAGATTGTACATGAACCCAATATTTCAGAGAATGAAGACAACAATGTATCACCTTTTCAGTAATGCCTAAATAACTTCTAAAATGGACAGTCACACCTGCACACATTCTAAACTCACCGGCTTGTTGTTCAGTATAATTTTCAGGAGCAAGAATTGTGGAAAACAATGAAGTCCATACTCCGAATGTACCAGTCATAACACCACCGACTATTGCAAGTAGAAGAAATGAAGGATTCATTATACATTGTCGAAGACCTTTCATGTAAGCTTTGAATCCTGAATCAGGATTGTTATTTTCTATGCTCATGAGTACTTCAGCTGCAGGTGACGGCGCCTTGGGTGGCTGAGCAGGAAAGTAGACTAAGGTAAGAACGCCAGCCACAAGTGCTAGAGTAAGATGAAAATAGAGCAAGTAAGGTAAATTCGAGGGTTTAGACACGATCGATGGGTTGATAACAAAACTGACAGTCGAACCGAATACGTTTGCCATGATAGCGAGTGTAGTAGCTCGTGTTCTCTCATTGGGACCGAACCATAAGCATGACAATTGAGAAACGGGCATCATTACCAATGGGCCACATGCAGCATTGATAATTTGACCAGCATGAAAGAAGGATAGAGAGATGGTTTTGAAATGGGGATTTGAATGAGAAATAGCGATCGAAGGTATCACTCGGAGTAGAGTGGCTACAAAACAAGCAACAGCTAAAAGGATGACAGTGCGTCGCAGTCCATTCCGTGTATTAAGAAGAAGATAGGCAAGAGGAAGACAGGGTATGAATATAATGGGTCCCCAATTCAGGAGAAGATCGACGGTGGATGAAGAAATGTTGTAGTAGGATTGTGCACTAAGCGAGACGGGAGAAAAAGTGAGCCAAAAGCAGCACTGATTGAAAGCAAGAAGGGAGAAAACACCGAGAACATAAAATCGTCGACGATAGAGTACATAAACAGTGGATTGTGACTTGGGAAAGATGTCATCAGAGCCGGTAGTCATCATGCTAAATCAACAATATGGCTAGCAAGATATAATTGTCTTCAGTATTGTTTTTTTTCTGCTTTATCTTCTTTCATACGTTCGTATCATAGTATGAAATGTGAAAAAATGAATAGAAAAAAGTAAGTAAGATAAGTATTTGCAAAGGACAAAAGGCTTTTATATTAAAACAGAATATACGTGACGCACTAAAGTTTGATGATGATAGAAGAAAAAAAGCATACTTCTTTTTGCAAGCAATGCATGATGCAAGGGGGGAAAAGCGGCTCCTGGCAGCTCTTGGCGACTCCTATATGGATTCTAGGATCCATAGAATCCTCCAGGAGCCATAAGAATCCATAGAATCTACCAGGATCCCTTTTAATCTACGAAGAACACTGTTTTACAGAGATTCCTCATGGTTGATGGGCTTAGATCATTAGTCATAATAATTCTACAATCACTAAAGGCATTAGCCAGACTAAATACTGAGGATTTATCGATATAAACATAAGCTTGAAAATTTTCAATCATCATCATGTATATGTTTTCACAGGTCAAACTTTTCATTTTGCTATATCACAATGCTTATAAAAGCTCTTAGTATACAGAAAAATCAATAAAACAATTGACTTGGCCTTTTATTCTTTGATTTTATGTGGATAGCAATACTTTTTATACACAATGTCTAGTTTTCTAAAATGCAAAAGCTACTACGGGAAAAAACCAACTTCTCCTATTTGTGTCAATTATTTCATCGATGTATTGATCAATCTTTCATATTAAGTTCAAAGTTCACAAGAAGTGAATCAATATGGTTTAACCTGCAACTGTTAGTTGAATAGTATAAAATTCTAGCTATTATAACTCTTGATTCAAATATTGTAGTTAGTAGTACAAATGAAGTGGAAAACGTACATAAATTATTGTCGTGTATTGGCTTCTTGGACTCACGATAGCCTAGTAGATGACAGAGAATTTTCTTCAATTATTAACGAGATGTTTTTTGTTAATGAATAAAGAACGGGGACTTTAAGCTACGTAATCAACCTCCCTATCAAAATTAAATTTCATTTTTCCCAATTGTATACTTGATGTCAGGAATCGATTGGTGTTCGAATTTTTCGGCTAGATCTTATTCTGGTTCTGCATGGCTCATTTTAAACTGCGAACTATATATCAGTATATTGTCCTATCAGTTTCGGATATTTTGATGAAAAGTTCTTTTTCTTTTCTAACACCTTTTAATCTCAGTTATACATCAAGCGTGTGGGTGTGGGTGTGGGTGTGGGTGTGGGGTGTGTGTGGATGTGGATATTTATCTAATCATATTTCACATCCACATCCCACACCCCACACCCACATCCTTTTCCTTTGTATTTCTACTTTGTTTTATTTGTTTAGGATATATGAAATGTATTGAAGATGAAATTTTCCGATCGAAATGGTTAGGAGTTAACTCAGCGAAAGAATATCATCAAAGTGATCATGCAACAAAAAGACATTATATAACTGATATATTTCATCCAATTCTTCAATATTTTCGTTTCTTTTCTCTTCATTCCTGTGGTTTATGTGATTTAAGTAAATATTGATCTTCATTTCTTTTTGGTGAATTTAATCTGCTCGTCCACTTTGTGTCCATATCATCTCCCTTCTATTATACACAAATAGTTATGCGTCTGGCTTTACGTCTGCTTATTTACTCATTAACTCTCGTTTCAGATTGTGTCTCGATTTTCGTGCTAGTCTTCGTCCTAATTGTCGTGCTGATCTTCGTCTTGCTGTTTTCCATCTGAACATGTCAAGTGACAACATTTCAAATATTACCGACATGCAATTGTAAGTCCGACATTAAGCC